CCCTGGGCACTGCCTCTTAACTCAGATGAGGAAGGCTCAAGAGAGAGAATTCGGAGGAGCGGTCAGGGGTTGTGTTTGGCTGTGATTAGTCTGAGACAAGCAAGAGGGGCTCTGGAAGGGGCCTTTGGAAGAGAAGCCAGGAGCTCAGGAGAAGGATCTGGATGTGATTTTGAGAGTCTTGGGGCCAGAGGAGGTCACATGGTTTCAGGGGCAAGGGGCAAAGTGTGGCAGAAGAAGAGGGCTAAGAAGGACACCAGGGCTCCCCAGCCTTAGAGGTTAAGGAGGAGGAGCCAGCAAGAGACTGGGCAGAACAGTGAGGTAGGAGGAGGAAGACGTGGGTTGCCCTCCCCCAGAAGCCTCCAGAGGCAGGTATTTCAAGACGAGGAGAGTGATCAGCTGTGTCACATGTGGCTGCGAGTTTGAGTAAGATGAGGAAGGAGAATTGACTGTTGACTTTGGCAAGTGTTTGGTCCCTGGCAATCTTGATAAGAGCTCTTTCATTGGAGCGATTAGGAAAATAACTTGTCAAGAGATCTATCGATGTATTTCCAATAGACCTATCTCCAAGAAGTCCTCTAGAGGGCAGTGTTACTCTCCGAACTGCCAAGCTTGACACTTGGCAGTGCCTCTCTGGAGGACCCCTTCTCCGTGCTTGTACAAACCTGGATACACACAGGATGCGATCATACCATACATGTTACCTTGCAGCTTGCTATTTCCACTTAGTGGTCAATACACATACAGATAATTATTGTGTGACTGCCGTAATCATGATTGCCAGGTTCACAGGTTTTGTGTCTTTTCTTTCCCTTCCCCTTTCTTCTCTCTCTCTCCCTTATCTTCCTTCCTTCCTTCCTTCCTTCCTTCCTTCCTTTCTCTCCTCTCTTTCTTTCTCTGTCTCTCCTTCCCCCCCCCCTTTCTTCCTCCCTCCCTTCCTTCACATCTTTATTGACATATAACTGACAGACAATAAACGGCACGTTTTGACATATACATACACCTGTGAAGCCGTCACCACAATCATGATAGTGACTGTTTCCATCCCCCCAAGAAGTTTCCTTATGTCTCTTTGTAGTCAATCCCTACCCCACCCTCAGCCCTTGATACCAACTAATCTGTTTTCAGTTCCTATAGCTTTGTGTTTTTGAGGAAGTCACATAAACAGAATCATACAAAACGTAGCCTTTTGAATTTGGCTTCTACTCAGCTCAGTACGTTTGCAACATGTCCATTTTTCTTTTGGCCACACTGCTTGTGGGATCTTAGTTCCCCATCAGGGACTGAACCCATGTCCTCGGAAAGTGTGGAGTCCTAACCACTGGACCGCCAAGGAATTCCCTATGTCCATGTTGTGTTTATCAGTAGTTGTTCCTTTTTATCATTGAGTTGTATTCCGTTGTATGGACGGACACAGTTTGTTTATCCTTTCACCTACTGATGGACATTTGGGTTGTTTCCATTTGGGGACAATTATGAATAAAGCTACTATGTACTGTCTCATTCAGATCTTTGTGTGGATGTTCGTTTTCTACTGTATTTTTTTAAATTTAATTTTTATATTTTGGAGGGTAGTTGATTTACTCTACTGTATTTTATTTCTACACTAAAACATGTGATTCCTCTGGAATTCATTTTTGTATATGGTCTGAAGTAGGGCTCAGGTCGTGTTTTGTTCTGGGCTAACCGACAAGGCAGATAACATCTTTCCTGGGAGGTTGTAATGTCACCTTAACCTACATCACCGTTCTCATGTGTTCTTGAATTTGTTTCCGGATTCCCTCTGGACGTTTTCCCGGAGCCAGGGTCATGCTGTTTTGATGACAGTGCGTTTTGCTGTTTGGCAAGGCAGCTTTCTCACCTTGCTATTCATGAGACTTGGCCTTGGAGGCTGTTGAGAGGGTGGATGTGGCCTGACTCTCCAGTGACAACCTCCTGGCTGAGTAGGGTGCCGGGGCCAGGCCCAGCACCTGGTGTGAGGAGGGGAGTGGGGAGATGATAACATCCATGATGATTGAATCAGATGCAGTTGCTTGGGAAAAGCCGGAAGAGATGAGACTCTGTGACTGGTCTCCAGGAATTCTGCCATCTTATTTCCTGTAATTTACAAGGCATCTTTTTTTTTTAAACATTTTTATTGTTATTGCTTTATAGTGTTGTGTTAGTTTCTGCTGTATAACAGAGTGAATCAGCTATATGCATACGTATATCCGAATATCCCTTCTCTCTTGCGACTCCCTCCCACCCTCCTTATCCCACCCCTCTAGGTGGTCGCAAAGCACCGAGCTGATCTCCCTGTGCTATGCGGCTGCTTCCCACTAGCTATCTATTTTACACTTGGTGGTGTATATATGTCAGTGCTACTCTCTCACTTCGTCCCAGCTTACCCTTCCCCCTCCCCGTGTCAAGTCCATTCTCTACGTTCTCTTTCTGACTTCACTCTGTATGACAGACTCTAGGTCCATCCACCTCGCTACAATTAACTCAATTTCATTTCTTTTTATGGCTGAGTAATATTCCATTGTATATATGTGCCACATCTTCTTTATCCATTCATCTGTCGATGGACACTTAGGTTGCTTCCTACAAGGAATCTTTCTACCCATGGCCATGTGCTGGCTGACATTGTCCCCTGAGCTGGAAGGAAGCCCTCTAGAAGGGCATGTGTCTACCCTGCCTTATTCCTTTGGGTGCTCCTTGAGTTGGCACAGGACTTGGTCCTTGGTGCTTGGTAGACATGCTTGGCCATTGTGGAGGAGGGGCACCAATCACCCTCCCTGCCACTAGTTCCCTGTGTCCGCTTGGATGTGTCACTTCTCCTTTCCACCCTCTGGGCCCTGCAAACAGGGTCACTGGGCTGACTTCTGATTCAGACCCCTGCCGGCTTGGAGCCTCTGAGTCAGTGGGAAGAGGCAGGGTGGCCGTGAGCTGCCTTGACTGTCGTGGTTAAGATTGAGGGTCTGACGCTTCCTGGATATGACCTTGGGCACCTGACTTAATCTGTTGAGCTTCTGTCCTCTGAGAAGCCAGGATGACGCTGGCCCTTTCCTCCTGGGTCAGGATTAGAAGGGATGGTGGGTTAATTTGGCATAGAGCTTGGTGGGTGGTAATGTCAGCTGGAAAGAACCCAGGGCTGGCATTCTGGTAAGACAGCTTTGCTTAATTTTAATAGTAACACATGTTACCTTGTAACAAATTCAGCAGTGTTGACTGCTACAAAGTAGCAAACAGAAGGTGCCACTTCCATCAAGTCCCTTTCCCCAGAGAGGTGAGGCAAGGGATGCTCATGACACACGTTCAGGCTTTGCAGGTATTCGTTTATTGACTATTTGGCAGTGACCAAAGGATGCCTGATTCAGGAGACAGCTGCACCCCCATTGCCGAGAACTCAGTAACCTCACTTATTTTACCCAGGGTGCTATTTCATTCTATTTAGGTGGGCTGGCAGCTGGACCCAAACAATTGGGTCCCTGGCCCCGTAGCAGCTGAAGTGGCCGTTGAGGGCAGGCCAAGAGAGCAGTTCCTGTGACTGGCTGGCTCAGGCTGTTTGTGGTGGGTGTTAGTCAACTCAGAAGCCCAGAGGGGAACTGGGTTTCTCTGTAGCTTTCAGTTCAGGGTGAGCATTCTGCTTTCAGCATTCCTCAGCAG